TTCAAGTTTATGTTGAGTCATAATATATGTTGTGTTGAATCATAGTCAAATTTTAAAATTGATAAGATTTGATAACATTGTGGAAGAAATGGATATATATTTGATGAAATTCAGATGAATTTTTAACCTCTAAAACCCCAGTTTAAAATTTCTGGTTTTAATCAAAAGATGTATTGATTTAAAAGGCTATTACTTTTAAAATTATCAACCGATTTAAAAAATAATATGCTGAAAAGTAAGAATAGAATCTGAAAAGTAGTCATTTATTCAAAAAAAACAGTGCTTCATTTCAGGGATTATACTTAAAAAGTTATTGAGAAAAGATTGAAGAAAAAAGAAAAAAAGTGTTAAATTTTTCACAAAGTGACCTAAAACAACTTTTCACAAATTATTAAAAAATTTAATTCAATTATTAATTTTCTTAGTGCGACACTCCATTTTCCAAATAATTCAGTTATAGACTGGACGATTTTAAGGAAAAATTAAATTAAATTTAGTTTGGTTATTAAATTAAGTAAAAATTACATTAGCCAAATAAACCAAACTAAAGATAAAGTGTTATCTATTTGTATCTGCTATATTAAGTGTCGTGTTGAGCTGTTGCAAGAGCATACAAAAGTGAAAATTATTTCTGAGAGAGTGAAGATAGCTTTTAAATTATGAGTACTTTTACATATCAGGAGTTATCTCATATCACATAATATGTATGTATATATATATTCTTTTTTAAACTATACCAAATAAAATAATTCTTAGACAACTATCAAGATGAGGACGAGGCCCGAGTAGGGTATTTTGAGATATAAGGATCTTAATCCTTTTAACCAGCTTTAATAAAACCCAAAATTAACGTAAATTTACATATGGCATGGTTGTAGTGCTCTATGAATAATAACTTTCCATTGAAGTAAACATCTAGGTCCATAATCGAATAGACTCTACTAAGAATTTTGTTATTTAAAGTATAGTTTCTTAAAAATGGCCGTCTTTGTTAGAATACCACATTTGTGCACATTTGTTTATATTAGTTTTTAGGTTATTATTTAAACACCATTTGTAAAAGCGGTTTAGATAATTTTGCATCTTTTACAGAGCCTACTTTTTTTTAAACTTTCATGTCATCAGCATATATAAATACCTCACGTTGCGTCAACATGGCAAAAACATCAATAACTGAAATTATGAACAGCAAAAGATCGAAGTAACTACCCTGGGACACCAGAATTAGCCATACGAGGGGTTGATACATAGAAATTGCCAAACGGAAGAAGATTTTGTAAGTTCTACTGAAAGGTATAATTTTAAAAAACCTAAGAAGTTTACAGGGATTCCTAAGAGTTGCAATTTCAAAATAGTTACGTCATTTAACAAAATGTCAGAGGTCTTGCTAAAGCCTGTCTAGGTTACGTCCGTTTAATACTGATTTTTCAAATTACTTGAAAAAACTGTCGTGGCTTTTACCAAGTTCGTCACCGTTTACTTCCTTTTCAAGGACTTTTCCATGCTGAAACCTATTAAAGAATGGCATAAAGTGGTAGCAAATGTTTTCGTATATCAACAAACTAAAAAACCTCAGGATTTGCCAAATTCGCCGAAAAAGTTGCGAAAAAATTTTGAAATAGTTTGGGAATTATTACTTGTATTCCCTTTTAACTTCAAAATGGTTGGATAATTATCACTATGAAAGATTTACTCCGCGAATGAAATTAGAATATTTGATTCCATTGCCAGTACTGTTGTTGTTATTATTATTGATATTGTCTTCGCAATTAATTTTAGTATTATAATTGTTATTGTTATCGATGTTAATGTTAATATTATTATCATAATTATTACTGTCATTATTGTTGTTACTGTGACATTAACAACAATAATGATAATAATAATTATGATAATTCTATTATTATTATTATTGCTGTTATTATTATTATTATTATTGTTTTTATTATTACTATTATTATGGTTAAAATTGCTTATTTTTATTATTAATTATTATTGATTCCTTTAAAAGTAGTATTGCTATAATTTTTGTAACGGGAAAGAACCTGTCTAGTATACTTGCTTATGCAAGACGAAAAAGTGCGTGATGATTTGTAAATATTGTTATTATTTAAGGAACGAACATCTTTCTTTTTCTTTTTATAATTAAGCGGGCTATTAAGTATTGATTTAAGTGTTCTCATAGCTAACATCACTCCCAATTGAGTAATACTCCCTAAAATACTGAATCATAGCATAGGAATGCCAAGACCTTTGGCCAATTATGTCATCAGTTATGGAAGAAGGTATAGTAACTGTGACAGACTTATGTTTGGGCTTGTATTTCAAGGTTCTTGGGCTGATATTAGCTAAAGTTATCCGTCTGTCTGTTTATAAAAATCTTATACTATTAACAAACTGAAATTTTTAAAAATCCCTTTGAATGCGTTTTTGCATAACATCTACTTTTGATGACTTAATGTTTTGTAAATGTCAGTGAACGGTATATTTAAACTTTTCCCATATCCTATAAGTAAGATATATTTCGGCCACACATTTCTTTAAAATAACCAGCTTCTATATTATAATAAATAAAAAGTTTTTATTTTATTTATTTCTAATTAAATGAAATTGTTTAGAGGAAATGAAATTTTTTTGTAAAATATGAATAAGAACGCCTTTGTGATTTTAAGTTTTCCTATAATTTTCTTTTATTTTTTATTGAGTTTTAATTTGAATGTAAATGCTCATACATGTATAGAGCAATAAGGGTTAGAAAATTGCACATCGAATAATATAGCTTTTACAATAATTTTATTAGCAATTGTTTGATTTTTAAGGCTATTTAGGAAAATATATATCTGATGAAATGAAGTTTTCTTTAAGTTAATAGAGAATACAGAAATTATACCTCTTTGTAATTTTATATACAAAGTATATGTATTAAAATTGGCTACTACAATAAAATACTTATGCAAATCTGTATAAAATATACATTTTTCGCATGTTCTTTGAGCGCATTTAACACGTTTTAACGTCTGGCAAAACTATGAGATATCGAGGAACATAACGGTACATTTTTTTTTTCAAGAGAGTGTAGTTCCATAATGGGTACATCCGCACAAAATAAATTAACTTTGTATAACTAGCCATTTGTGTGATCCTGACCAATGATGCAGTTTTACGTATACCATAGGCATTTAAAATATGTTGCAGTATTTTGCAGTTCCTATATCTCTAAAAAATATTCTTTTAGAAAAATTTATAATATATTCAAATTAATTTTATAGAAGGTTTCCACTCGTAAATGTAGCTTTTTCTAACAATTTTATTGCACTTAGGTTCGCTGTGTAATGAGAAAAACACGAAAATACCTTGAAAGAAAAATTAATTATAATTAAAATAGTAATATAATGCAAAATAATTTGGTATTATTTAGATTCAATTAACATATAAGTACTGCATTCAAGTACTTCGGAAACATTGATCGTAACAGGCATACATTACATTTATGTACACGTATACACACTTGTATGCAAAACTGCTTTTTAATCTTCAATAAAATTCCTTTAGTAAAACATTCTTACAAACTATTAAAAATTATGGAAAAACAAAATAAAACACAAATGTTTATAAAAATTTAATGTAATCAAAAACTTAAAAAAATTTAACAATAAAACTAGAAGTAGCTATGTACCTACACATTTGGATAAACAATTTATGTTCAAAAAACATTTTAGAAAATTAAAAAAACTTCAAAAATAAGATAAGATGGACAGGCGTTCAACCCAAATGAATGAGTTGTGTTAAATTCAATTGTTAACATAAAAGATGACTAATCACCAAAATTTTCCGAGAAAACATTGGTATACTTATAATGAAAATTATTTTGTTATAGTATTGTATCGCAGTTACAAACAATAATTTTGCTAGCTGAATTTAGAGTTATCATATAACTTCACACAGAATTCTAAGTATATACAAATAAAGTTGGGTCAAGCAAGTGGTTTGTAATGTACTCATAGCACTTTTCTTTTCAAGAAGTGAAAATACTGCTTCTTAAAAACAATCTAGCTGTGCACTATTAACATTACTTTCATTCATATTCGAATATGTGTATTTTAAAGATTGCATACATTTAAGATGCAATATTTGATATAAAACACAAAACATTTAAAGAAGCCATATAATGCTGGAATTTAAGGGTTAATTACGTGAGTTAAGAAAAATAGATAACCTGCAGTCTAGAAGAAAAGCGTCATCAAAAATTTGGAAAAAAAAATGGATTTTAGATAACGGTAATTTTTAACGACCATTTTGTTTTTTTAAACTTCAAGTATTGTATGCCACGGTTGAAGAAGCCAACCAGTACTTTTCTGCGTGTGCAAAATTTGCAAAACGCATATGTTTAATTATAATATATAGTTAAAAAATTGCATTTTTAAGGTTTTGTAGAAAACTACTTTTGTTGGGGGCGGAGATAAGTAAAAATTTTCTTCTAAGAAAATAAGTTTCTAGCAAAGATCTATGTAGGACTTTCTGAACATCTAATAAGCACTTTTTTCCTAAAACTTTTTCGTTTACATCTCACCAAAGTTTAGCAATGTATTCAATCTTTTTATTATCACAATATCGAGTCGAAATCGACCCAAATAAGATGTAATAAAACGCATGAACTTATAGTCTGGAATCTTAAAATATGAGTATTACTGTCGCATATTTATTTTGCAGAATTTTGCTATCAGAATCGTGTTCTGCAAAGGATGTGAAATATTAGTTCATATAACAATTTTCACACCTTACATATAAATCTATAAAGAAAGCAGTTAAACGAAGTGATTACGTATACGAGTATTTAATTATGACCATAGTAGACCGCTATAACAGTATTCCTATACTAATAGTTTAGTATAACTTTCATTTACAAAATGTTTCGAATACGCTACTTACCCTTGAATCAATATCATCTTCTCTCTTCTTCTTCTTCATACGTTAGGTCTTCGACCTGTGTTCTACTAGATTTATTCTTGCGACGTTGAAACCCAGCTTTCGCGCCATCTTTTGGGTGGTCTCCCAATCGGTCTCCTTGTTTGTGGGCGCTCTATGGATGCGATTTTTGTGATGCTGTTAGATGGCATTCTTTCGACATGATCTCGCCAATAACGTCTTCTTGATCTGGTCCATCTTACTACGTCTTGAATGTTGCACTCCTCTCGTATAGCCTCGCTCCTTATTCTATTTCCGAGTGAATAGCCAGTTATTTCGCTCAACATTCTCATCTCTGTTTTTCTAGCCATTTGCTTTGTTCTGGAAGTTTCGGCTCGTGTTTCTGCTGAATAAGTAAGTATTGGTCTCACTCTGGTCTTGTATATTCTTACTTTATTTTCTAGGAGCATGAATTTGTTTTTCCAGATCACGTCTCGAAGATAACCCGCGACAACACTTGCCTTATTAGCTTGATACTGTACTTCACGTGCAATATTTTTACAACTAGAAATTTCGGCGCCAAGATATTGAAAGCTCATAACTTGTTTAATTGTTTTGTTGTACGTCATTAATTTGCAACGGATTGGGTCCTTTGATATTACTAATGCTTTAGTTTTTTCCGCAGATATTAGCATGTTTAGTTGCTCAGCAGTTTGTTGGAATTTAAATAATAAACGCTGGATATCATTTTCGCTCTCCGCTATCAAGACAGCATCATCTGCGTAACATATAATGCTAATGGCATGGTTTTCCAATCGGTACCCAATGTGCATTGATTTTATGGCTCTTATAATTTTGTCCATGACTAGATTGAACAACTTAAACTATCTCCCTGTCGAATACCATTAGAGATAGGTATAGCACCAGTAAGTTTCCCATTCACTTTTATTCTTGTAGTATTGTTTGTGTTAAGATTTTGTATCAAGCTAATAATACTCTGGTCAACATTTTGTTCACTCAATATTTGAAGAACATCCTGGAGTTGCACGCGATCAAACGCTTGTGTGAGATCAACAAAACATAAGAAGGCCGGCTTGTTATATTCAATAGACTTCTCGACTATCTGCCGCAATGTAAATATTGCATCAATTGTGGACCTGTTCTTTCTGAAACCATTTTGCTCATCAGAAATATTAATACTTTCTTTTAGTTGTTGCCCAATGATATTTGTGAGAACCTTTTGGACGGCACTCAACAATGTTATACCTCTATAATTTTTGGGGTCATCTTTGCTGCCTTTTTTAAAGACTGGTGATCAATATCATAAATGAATAAAATGAATATATAAAAGAATATTGATCTAGAGTCACGAGATTTTTGCCCAATTAAATATTTTGAATAACTTAAATCAGCAAAACACTTTTTTGTGAAATAATTGTAAAATGTACTTCTTTACCAATTCATTTATTTTCAACTTTAAAAAAAAAGGAAAAACATTTTAGAAATGTTTACGGCTGGTTTTCGTATAAATATTTTAAGCTTCTTCTGAATGAGTACATACACATATTTCCAACCATAATTTTCAAATTCAAAAGGCAGACAAACGTATGAATTTACGAAAATTAAAATGTTTCTTGTTTGAGAAAATTGATTTCAAGTTGAAGAAAAGTCAATAAATATTTATAAACTGCGAAAATAATATTATTTTTATTTGTAAACTAATTTCAATAATTTCACTTTATTTTTTCTGCTTTTTTTATGAATTTATACATAAAAAATGTATGTATGTACGAATTTGTTTGTACTTATTTTATAAGCGATTTATTTACATAAAAAATTGTTTTTTATTACCTAATTTTTAAAAAAAAGAAAACAAAATAAACAAAAATGAATTAAATGACGTCAAAGTTCTGCAGGCTTTTTCTCTTCTTTCGACTCAAGGTAACTAATCAGCGTGCGCCAATTAATTTTTTTTTTAATATTTTTTTTTTCAATAATTAAAAAACAATTAAATTTCATTACATATATGTATATGTGTATATTATATACGCGTACATACAAATACAAATGTACATAAAATACCTGCACTAGTTAAATTGAAACTAATTAAATTGAAGATGCTAATTAAAATTTTAAAATATGGCGCATGTTTTTTTTTACAATCTCATTTAAGTACCATAAACATTTAAAACTAATTTTTCGTGCTAACTATAAATTTATACTAATTATTTAAAGTTTTAAGACGTCTCAAAAATAAATTTAATGAAATTTTCAATTTTTTAATGTTATATAATTAAAACACTGTTACATTTTAGTAAAATTTTTGTAATTGATAAATATTCGATTATTTGATTAATTTATGAAGTGCTTCGAATTTACATCGAATTAAATCGAAATATGTAGTTCAACGAAGAATTTAAAGTTAATTATTTTCTAAGACTTTAACAAAGTAGAATTTAAAGACTTTAGTTCATTTATGCACTAGTTACTAGGCCTTTTTATATATTATTGTATGCTTAAATAGAATTGTGGCCATATTTTACATTGTAGACAAAGGAGAATTTCATGGAAGTACAATAAAATATATTTTTTATTCATAGAATAAAAAATAAGCTAAAATAAAGGTAATCTTAGTGTCATTGACAACGTAGTGCCCTTTCTGAAAAATATTCAAATAGGGGGTGGGGAAAAAGTAAAAAACTTCGATTTAAATATTTAATTTTAATTATATGTACTATTTTATTTAAGAAAAAATAATTGTATAACTCAAATAGGAAGTTAAACGATTGTACTAAACATTACATAGATTATTTGAAGTCTACAGATTATACAAACTAAATCATATTAAATGAAAGTTAAAAGCAAAACAAAGGTGACCAGAAAAATGTATAAATTTAACTTAACCTTATAACTTTTTTTTAATTTGAAAATATAAATCACTTATGCATTACACCTATTAAGAAAATAATAAAAAATTTGAAAAAAAAATGCTTATTAGTTTTACTTTGTCCATCCTAATGTCCGTCCGTCTGTCTATGTGTGTGTCTGTGTGCCCGTTTACAAAACGTCTACACCTTTGAATATAGAAAGCTGAAATTTTAAATGTACATAGATCATTACTAGAAACTTATTTCCGCAGAAGAAAATTTTTAAGTATCTATAAATTTATATTTTTTTTAATTTTCAGTTCTCCAATTTAATTAAATTTAATCTTCCAATTTAATCAAATTTTGTGTTTGAGCAGCTAAATAAGCTAAAAATATCAATAAAAGCCCGTTATTCTTTTTCCTTGATGCGCTACACATAACTTTCACGGTATTTTCCGAACACTACTTTGAACAATTTCAAGTAAATATATTGAATATTTTCTTTATAATGACCAAAAATGTAAAACAGGCCCGTTAAAAAGTGCAGTTCCCGAGGCCTGATTTATCTCAAAAGTTGATCAATCCGTGCCATAGTCGAAATTAGTTTATATATAAAATTTCATCAAAATCGGTTCAGCCGAACTTGAGATACACGCATGCACACACAGACCAACAGATTGCTAAAAGTAGTTTATTTACACCTCCCTACCATGGAGAAGTGCGTTCCGAATCGATATATGAGATTATAAATTTGTCATGAACTTGTTTTATAAGAGAGAAAGTTAAGTACAAGTTATTTGTTTAAACTGCCGGCATAACTTTATTTGATTAAGTATAGCAGAATATTATAAATGAGTAAGTTTTCTGTTGTAAGCTTAGCTTAATACGTATAGTTTAGTTTACAACATAATCTAGAACTTTTGAAAATACTACAATGTTAAATGAAAAATATTATAATTTTGTGTTTTTAAGTCTACGGTGCTTTTTTCTACAGGGTCATTGATTGATGAGTAATTTAGAGAATTCAGTAGAAAGCTGATAAGAGCTCCAAGGAAAAAGTTCAAAAAAAAACTTGAAATTAACATAGTACTTTATTTCGTATTTTATATTATATCTCGAAAACCGAACCAGAGATCGATTTTAAATTTCTTATCATATCTAAGAAACTATTGGAACGTAAACAAAATGTAAATAGAACAACGTTCATTTTGATTCCATTTCAATTTATGATTTATTTCTACGGTTAGTACAAAAACTCCAAAAATATTAAACGCATTCTTAATGACAACTCTCTTGAACATAATATAGAGATATTTTCTTAATTGCCTCAGATCCAATTTCTATTTGCTGTGCTCCGTATGAACATTTTGTAAATTTTACTTGTTGTTTGAATATATGTAGTTATCGCAATATTTCTTGGAACTCATTATATTTACTATCAGATAATTAAGAATAAATTCTTACTTTTCCTCTTTTTACATTTGCTCTTAAAACTTCATTTAGTCTATTAAAATCATGTTCCGGAATATAAATAATTTTTCTACCTGAAATATTTTCATTGTCTATAGTTTTATTATTGGTTAATATTATCTGAAATTTATTTTAATTAACAATTTCGCCTGCAATGGGTATATGACCTTCAAACTCCTTATTATAACAATTTATGGTTGCCATTGTTATAATATCATCTTGCACATTGCAGTTTTCATCTTTTGAGGATGTATCACTTTCATTAATTCTTGATTTGATTCTACTTAAAAAATCTACAACCCTATTTCTCTTTCCTTTTATGTATTCTATTTCAAATAGATTTTCCCCTAGCATTAATAACCAACTTTGATGCCTCGATGAGAAAACCTTACCTACATGTAGCATTTAAATATTTAATAGGTTGATGGTCCGTCATAATTTTGAACTTTTTCCATATAAATATGGCCTAAAATAATTTACAGCGTACATGATATAGTTAGAAATACTTTATCTGTTAGAAATTCTCTATAGTTAGAAATTCGTAAGAGTTCTCGACGTGAAATAGGCTCTATGTCCCTCTTGCGATAGATTCACATAATTCGATGGATCTGTTATTACCGTAAACAATTTTTCAAAATCAGGAAAATTTAATATAGCCAATAATGAGACTTTTTAATTTTTCCAATGCATTTATGTAGTTAGGATTACTCAGATTAATTTTAGTACCTTTCTTTAAATATTTTGTGATCGGTTGGGCTACTTTAGGATCTTACGATAGTGACCCGTTAATCCTAAAAAACTCTTTTTTCCCTTTCTGTTCTAGGGAAAGTAATTTTTTTGTAATTGCAATTTTATTAGGATTAGGTCTAGGTCCATTGTTTGTTATACATGTCTTAAAAACTCTGTCTCTTTCTTTAAACAATTACACTTGTCTATTTGAATTTTTAAATTTCTTTCTGTTCTTCAAGGCTGGTGCTAAATATTAGAATATCGTCAAGGTATAAAACGCAAATTCCACCATTATAATTTCTCAGAATGTCATTTATTAAACGCTGAAATATCGCCGGATCGTTCTTCAACTTAAACGGCATCCAGTTAAATTCATATAGTCCAAATGGTGTTTCTTTTTATCTTCCTATTAAACTAAAATTTGATAGTATCCCTTAGCTAAATCTACCATTGTAAAATACTTGGCTTCCCCAAGTTTGTCCGAAATGGAAATTATAGTTTGTAGAGAAAATTCATCATCAAAGGTTATTCCATTTAACTTCCTGTTAACTGATTTCGCGCTCTTCTTCGCGTTGTCATCTATACAATTTTGCACAAACCGCTGGGTTTGTAGTAGTAATTATTTCATGCTCTACATCTTGTATTTGTTAGTTTATCACACTTACTTTGTAAAATAGATTAGAAAATCGTTTTAATATTTTTTTTTAACTTCTTTACACTCACACCAAATTAAGATGGTTTAATTTTATTGAATCAGTATTTGAATTTATTTTCTAAAACCCAAACTTGATTAAATA